GTCTGAAGCATACATTGAAAAAACACCAACTCGTTGGCCGGCGACAGCCATGACGTCACTACCGGTGCGACTATAGTATAAATAAGTTATATTTTGTTATATACATGCATTATACGACTGATAGACTGCAACAGTTGGAGTTAAAAATCATCATATGTGTTCTACTGAAGAAACAACGTCACCTACATCTTGGATGCCCTGGGGGTAAGCAGATAAACATCAATTTTCATTTTTGGATGAACTATCCCTTTAATCTGTGAGAAATAATGTCAGATTTTTTTTTCCCTTGGCAGCACCAGAAGTATTTTATCCATTCGGCTCAGCAGCTGGAGACACAATAAATGCAGCTGTTGAAGATGGAAGCTCTTCTGTTATTCAGCTGTTGAGTCCATTTCTGTTCTTTGGCCGCACATACCAGCAGATTTATGTAAGAATTTGACTCCATCTTGATTCTGAGTCTAAATGTGAGTGGTGAATGCTTTATAAACTCATCTGTGATCAGTGATTTTTGACAGTATTTCTCATGTTGCAGGTTAATAATAATGGACACCTCACATTCAACCAGCCTTCATCGCAGAATGTTCCAGACAACTTTCCTTCTTATGAAAGCCAAGATATAATTGCTGGTCTTTGGACTAATCTTGACAACCGCCTGAAAGGTGTTGTTTCATATCGTCAGTACACCAGTGGAAATGTTCTCACACGCGCCTCTCAGGATATAAACACACATTTCCCAAATCTGAACTTCAACGCTTCTTGGGTGTTTGTTGCAACATGGAATAAAGCCGCTTACTTCAACTTAACTAACACAGTAAGCTTGATGTTCTTCTTAAATGTGAATGTTTTCACTTTGTTCATGATTCATTTTCTGAATACTAGGCCATGTGAATACAGTAGACCATAAAGACAGTAACCGAGAAAACAATAATAGATTGATAAGCTTAAAGTGATTGTCTTTCCATTTTTGCAGGAAACATCGTTTCAAGTGGTTTTAATTTCAGGCCGTAATTTGTCATTTATTCTGATGAATTATGGTGACATTGCTGTAACTGAACATCCAGTGCAGGTAAAAGAAACTTGTTTTCTGTATTGAGAACAAAATGTTACTATTCACTACTGTATAAATGTTTGTGTCCTATATAAATACTGTTTATATGAATAATGTTTTTACACAATTTCAGGCTGGTTATGACACAGTAGACTCCACACACTACTTTGTGATTCCCGGATCAATCAATGGGAGCTTCATCTCAAAACTCAGGAACTCCAGTAATGTCGATGTTCACGGTCGATGGGTCTTCAGGGTGGACAGTGGACCACGAAACAGCATCTTGAAAAGTCTTATCTATACATAACGTTTTGATAAATTTCATATAATCCCATATAGTGTTTGTATGATTGGTGTCAACGAATACACATGAGTTTTTAGATGTCTGTGTATTTTTCCCTTTAGACAATGTCGTTGGATTTCGAGTGAGACTTTCTTCATTTTTAGACCTGACACAGAGTGGCAGCACTGAAATACTTTTACAGTAAGTACGTCACACTTACTACGAATATTTAAACAGAATACGGTTCAAATAGACCACATGGGGAAATTTGTTCTGCTTGTCCATCTGTGTTTCAGATAAAGCAGGAGCTGGTCAAGTACGGTCTGCCAAACAGCATCGAACTGAAGTTAAGAAAACTGCAAAAGACAAAGCCGTAATTTCCTTCTCCTTCAGGAAAAGAAGTAAAACCAGTTCGTTTAGCATTTGACAACAAATATCCCTGACGACTGATGATGTAAAAGCTTCAGTTTTTCATTAAGGTGATTTACAGAGGATTCAAACCAGCATAAAAGTATTATAGAAGAGGTCCATTAGATCCTCCTTTTTTTCTTTGCATATCAATCATGTTGTGAAATTTAAACTTTATTGTAAGTAAAACTCTTTGTCTCATTCACCTTCATTAGAACCATAACTTATAAGGATACAATACTGTAATGTGGGGTTTGGGTTTTGTTTTTGTTTCATGTTCATGTTTTCATGTCTTTCATTTTTTTTAGTTTGTTTCATGCTGTTAGTGTCATGCTTCCCTTGCCCTCTTGTCTGGGGTGCGTTTCCCAAAAGCATCGTTAGCTAACTATGGTGGTTCGTTCCATTGAACTCTATTGGTAACGACGGAACTTGCGACCATAGCTGCTTTTGGGAAACGCACCCCAGGTTAGGTTCACAGTGTAAGTTACCATGGTAACTGACTCTGAGTATAAGTTACCTCTCTTTCATAAACGGGCTTGACTTACTCTGCTTTCTCGGGTTTGACAAACCTCCCATTCTGAAAGGGAAAACCCAGTTTCCCTCATTTCAGGACATACTCAGAGTTTTCACTTAACCACCTTTCTGAAACGGGCCTCTGTTGAGGTATGGGCATGTTTGTTTTGGTGCTTTCATATATCAACATCGTTTGGCAAAATTCGCTTACTGCACCTTTAAGTAGGGGGCGATAACGAGACAGACACACCTGAGGCCCGTTTCAGAAAGGAGCATTTGACTCTCTAACCCTAACCCTAATCATGCAGACACTGAAAGTGACAGAAACGGCATTTCCTTTTATACAGAATCCTGTAGATGAGGCTGCATTAATTCGTAGGGAGTTACATTTACATTGGAAGAGGATTATTTAGATTTTTTTGCCATATCCGCATGCATATTTATTTGAGCACTATACCATTTTTAAATGGTAGTTTTCTATATAACATCAGGGATGCAGAGCACATTAAGGCCGCTGTATGCAGAGCAGTAAGGAAAGTGTGTCTCACTCTCATGCTCTTTCTTATAATAATTGTGTTGTTTTCTGAGCACAAACCCATTGAAAATGAAGCTGATTACTGTATGGAATAGAAGGATGCCATATGGAAGGGTAGTTTGAGATATAAGCCGTAACCACCACCACAGCTGTTACATTTATTTGGTCATCTTTATTTCCTACAAATACAAAAGCAACAGTTATTTTTTTGCCATATATTGCCATATCCACATGCATATTTATTTGAGCGGTACCATTTTTAAATGGTAGTTTTCTATGTAACATCAGGGATTTAGAGAACATTAGTAAGGCCGCTGTATGCAGAGCGGTAAGGAAAGTGTATATAGGTTTTTGCGTCTCTCTCTCTCATGCTCTTTCTTATAATATTTGTGTAGTTTTCTGAACACAAACCCATCGAAAATGAAGCTGAGAACTGTATGAATTGGAAGGATGCCAGATGGAAGGGTAGTTCGAGATATATGCCGTAACCACCACCACAGCTGTTACATTTATTTGGTCATCTTTATTTCCTACAAATACAAAAGCAACAGTTATTCTTTCTCCTGTTGGATTTTAATATTCTTCTATACTTGGTATTGTGGCCATCTCCTCTTCATCTGTTCTTTATTATTTTTGTCAGCCTTCTTGCTGTTGGCTGAGTAGATGTCAAATGTTCATTTCATTACTCTAATTAAGAAATACAACAGTTTGGATTAGAGAGCATTTAATTATGTGAAAAGAGCATTAAACTATGTGGAAAAAGCTGCTGCACATTGAAATAGACACTGAATGATATTTAATATGTAAAATGTTTGTTAAGTTATGTAGCCTACACCAATGAAACTTAACCCGCTGTCGGTGAGTCTAGTCTGTTCATGCCTCGTCAAGTCAAGTCTGTGTCTCTAGTCTCGGATTATGTTTGTATTTTGGATCACTCTGTAAATAAACTGCACATGGGTTCTCACTACGCTCTCCTTCAGTGGACTGAATCATTACAAATACTTAAATTGAATAATGTACAGTATAATTTGAATGCATCATACATCACTTTGAATTAAAGAATCTGCCAAATGCATAAATGTCAAATTATATCTCCTTTTTAATATGGGCATCTAAATTTGTGGCTTAATAAAAATAATATTCTTTGACTATAAGTCAAGTCAAAGTCTATACTCTGTTCTTCATTATTTTGCGAGCCTTCTTGCTGTTGGCTGAGTAGAAGTAAGATGTTAATTTCAATACTCTAATTAAGAAATGCAACAGTTTGGATTAGAGAGCATTTAATTATGTGAAAAGAGCATTAAACTATGTGGAAAAAGCTGCTGCGCACTGAAATAAGACACTGAATGATATTTATTTAATATGTCAAATGCTTGTAAGTCATGTAGCCTACACTCATGAATCTTTTATGCTTAAAGCTTAACCTTGATTGAATTATGTTTTTATACTTCATTTTCGCTTTTTTTTTTTCTTTTTCTTTTGCCTGTAGGATACCATGAAAATTAATATTACTTACTCTGTAAATAAACTGCACATGGGTTCTCACTACGCTCTCCTTCAGTGGACTGAATCATTACAAATACTTAAATTGAATAATGTACAGTATAATTTGAATGCATCATACATCACTTTGAATTAAAGAATCTGCCAAATGCATAAATGTCAAATTATATCTCCTTTTTAATATGGGCATCTAAATTTGTGGCTTAATAAAAATAATATTCTTTGACTATAAGTCAAGTCAAAGTCTATACAAAGTTTTTTTTTTCAAAGCAGGTTCACAGTAATAAACAGGAAAATAGCAGAATCAGTGATGGAAACTTGTGCTGTCAGCTCTAACAAGACAGTATAGTGTCATTGTTCAGCTCAATTCAGTTTAGTGTTGATTTAGTTCAATAAGTATAAAGTTCATAAATAATGAAGCAAGTTCAGCTATAAGCAGTATGGTTATTTGTCTTTTAAGTGTATTTTTATTTAGCAAATTATCTGCCAATGGGGAAAGAAAAATAATCTTGTTTCCATTTGCATTAAGATTATTTTTCTTGTTTTTAAGTAAAATGCACTTAATTTAGATTACAAAATACTCACTAAGAAAAGCATTTTTGCAGCATGAATGAATGAATGAGGTATTTAAAGGGATAGTTCAAGGTGAACTATCCCTTTAAACATCGCTTGTGCTTTAAAAAGAGGGAGGAGACTGAAAAAAACTCTGGGTTTACCAAAGAAAACCTGCTCCCGACCAGGGGTGCAACAGTTTGGATTAGAGAGCATTTAATTATGTGAAAAGAGCATTAAACTATGTGGAAAAAGCTGCTGCGCACTGAAATAAGACACTGAATGATATTTATTTAATATGTCAAATGCTTGTAAGTCATGTAGCCTACACTCATGAATCTTTTATGCTTAAAGCTTAACCTTGATTGAATTATGTTTTTATACTTCATTTTCGCTTTTTTTTTTTCTTTTTCTTTTGCCTGTAGGATACCATGAAAATTAATATTACTTAAATAATTTACCGTTCTGCCACTTTTTACCTTTGATATTATAACAGTGATTAAGAATTAAAGTTACCTATTGACTCGGAAGTATGCGGACGTCTTTTTGTTGGGTGCTGTTGCCATGTTGAGTCATAATTTCGGAGTTTCCCATCAACTCAGAGTTCAAGTTTCAACCCCGAGTTGGTTGAACCTCCTTATTGAAACGGGCCCTGAGCATAATGAACTCAAATGAGTAACCATGATGACAAACAAGGAGCGGGAAACAGTGCAAGACACAGACAGAGTTCATGGTGGTTTGACAATATGTGCATTAGAATAAATGATTAATTTAAATGTTATTTAAGAAACTTACAGTACACTCATTACAGGGACAATCACCTGGGTATGTAGTTACAACATAATATGAACACTTATTTTGAATATATAGAAGCATGAATGAGTTTGATAATTGTGGCAGAGGCCAAGATTTTCTACTTTTAACACAGCATCTTAAAAACACAACTCTCACACTGAAAAAAAAAGTCTGATTCATTTGTACACAGTAAACGGGTTTGCGGATGAGTAAATGAACTATAAACACAAAGACATAGAAAATTCTATCAGCATAGTAACTTAAGTAATCAAATTATCACCAAAACACAGTCAGGACAGCAAACGCATGCCCTCCTGATCTGCATACGAGCCCCGCCCACATTACAGTGTAGCCCCGCCCACCGCCTCTGACTGTATCAGTATGAAAAGAATATGAGGAAATTGTTGCGTTTCAGGGGGCGTGGCTTAGATCCAACTCACTTCTCATAAGTTTGGGCTTGGGTTTAAACTGAAGTCAAAGCTCAAGACAGAAGGAGAGCAATCATGGACGACGTGGTGCTGACAGCAGATCTGCCAGCAAGCAGCTTGAGTGCAGATAAACTCAAGAGGAAGAACCCAGAGGAGAGCAGTCTGAAGTCCACAGAGGAGAAGATCAATGGATCTCCAAAGACAGAAAACCAGACCGCAGGAGAGAAAGACAGCAAGACCATTGAGGAAAGCAAGATTCAGGAAGACCTTAAGGAATCAGAGGACCCTCAGAAGCCTCAGGATGAAGACGATGTCACCTGTGACTCCTGCATCGACCGGCCGTGCCGCCCCAAGAAGTCGTGCTTGACCTGCCTGGTGTCGTACTGCGAGGCTCACCTGAGGCCGCACCTGGAGAACATCAAGTTTCAGAGCCACAGGCTGCTGGAGCCGCTGCGGGACATCGAGAGACGGACGTGCGAGACGCACCGCTGCGCGCTGGAGCTGTACTGCTGCGCCGACGCGTGCTGCGTCTGTCAGGAGTGCGTGGCGGAGGAACACCGCGGACACAACGCCGTGCCCATCGCTGAGGCGCGCAGGAAGATAGAGGTACTTCTGTTCTCTCACTTACTTTCTAACTTCATGT